CTATTTTAACACTTACCCACACTGGGAAGGAATTTTCCTCTGGGTGTGGTACTCCTCAGCCTGCACTGGCTCTAAGATGAGGACTAAGATTCAGAAATGGGCTGCAACCCACCCTAGAGCTGCTGGGAATGTAATACATGTACGGGACTTAATGAACTTATCATTTCTCATGGAGAGGAAGTGGGTGGTATTTGGGGAACTTAGGGCCCGCTGAGAGGCTGTCAGAAAAGGCACTGGGCTGTGAGAGAGTTGGTCACATCCATACTCACCATTGAGCTGTCAGAGAAAACATCCGGGTGGTTCTCATAGATAAATTTCTCCACCCTCATCTGCCGCAGCTTGAACATCTTGGAGCCTCGGTTGGTAAGTAATGACAGCTCCTCCAACATCACATCCCTTGGGACACTGATCTTCTTGCCCAGGTTCAGGCCTGAGTTCTCCCGTCCACCTTGTCCAGGAGGTGGAGAAGGGGCGATAGAGGAAATTAAGGCTTTCTGGACTCAGAGAAGAACCTCCACCCATAGCTGAGTGTATAGTCAAAGAGATCATTTAGAGGCAAAATTCTGTGATCTGACCAAGTTCTGCCTAGTTTATGAGAGGTTTTTGTCTCATTTGTGTATCTTTTAAATATTTTAAGAGAGAGAGGGGGGGTCCAGGGTTTCACTATGTAACCCAGAGTGGCCCAGAATTCACTGTTAGACCAGGTTGGCATTGAACTCACAAATCAGCCTGCCTCTGCCCCCTGATCACTGGGATTAAAGGCATAGGCCATCATCACACTCCATGAGAAGTCTTGATTTCCTGGTTTGGAGTTAGAGAGAATACACAGGAACAAGGGTTCAGGGCATATACAGTCGGAGTACTAGAGTAGAGAAGTAAACAGGGCTACAAAGAATATGGGCTTGGAGTGGAAGAGAACAAGTGTAAGGGAATATTGTAGACAGAGGTCACTGGAGAAATTATAGCTTGGGAGGAAGCTGATAGTCCAATATCATGTGCAGTTGCCCCTCTCTAAATACAGATCCTTATTTTTTTTCTTTTTGATTCAGTGAACTCTGGCTCCAGAAGTATCAGGAGAACTTCACACCTGGTAACTCGTTTACATCCCTGGGGAGTATGCCTGCCCAGTTTCCTATTTTAAATGCTTACACAAGTTCTCTAGCACTTAGAAAGAAATAAGGAAGTTAACCATTTGGTGAGGTCTAGCTTGTGTCCTGTGGCCCTGGGCCTGGCTGAGTAGTGTAGCTGGGTGCTGTCTCAGAATAACCAGTGGCAAGGGTGGAGGATGCAGAGTAAATGTGGAATTCTTCCTGCTTCTCTCTCCTTGCCCTTCTTACCCCTCCCATCACTTCTGTCTCCCACACCTTCCGTGGCTGGAATTCCTCCTGTATTTTCACTCTGACTTATATCCAGTCTTATGTAATTTCTGGGACTCCCGAGTCATGGGTGCTCTTAAAAGTCAGGCACTAGGGAGCTACAAGCATGCCCTACCTCCGGTGAGCTCCATGATCAGTTTGCTGGGTTTCCTCCTCTTGTTAGGGGCCGGGGTTCCCGAGAGCGGCATGATGGAAATGGACTTGACCTGGAAGGAGTGGGAAGCAGGCTTGAAGAAGAATCTTCTTTTTCTTAATTTTTTTTTTTTTTTGAGACAGGGTTTCTCTGTGTAGCCCTGACTGTCCTGTGTCCTGGAACTGGCTGTGTAGACCAGGCTAGCCTCAAACTCAAGAGATCCTCAAACCAAGCTCCTACCCTCCTTGCCCAATCTGCCTCTGCCTCCCAAGTTGGCATGTGCCACCACCTCGAAGCTTCAGTACTCCTTAACTTGGGGTTAAGAACAAAGTTTCTTCGGAGTGTGTGTGTGTGTGTGTGTGTGTGTGTGTGTGTGTGTGTGTGTGTGTATGTGTTGCTGAGGATTGAATTCAAGGCTTCATTATGCCACGCAGGTTCTCTACCACTAAGGTATGCCATCCAACTCTCAGGTTTTCACAGAAGTGTGTATTCCTCCCAAATGGTAAAACTCCGCTGTCTTAGGACTTGTTTTCTTTGGAATCAGAACAGGAGGCAGAGCTGCCCCCTTTTCCCTACCTCTTACCATCCTCCAGTGCCCATTTTCCATAGATCCTGTGGGGGGGGAGGCGAGAGCTGTTTCAAAGACAACAACCCTGGCAGGGCAGTGCACCCAGGTTTCTTGGCCTGGCATGATTTAAAGCGATTATTTGTATTGGGGTATCAGCCTACAGCTATGGCTCCAGACTCTGGTCTCCTCCTCAGGCTTCCCTCAAGGTCCAAGGGGTAAAGAAATGCTCTGCTGGTGTTAAGGAGATTCAGCCAAGACAGTCTCCATAGGAAGGAGAGGTTGTTGTTCTGCCAGGAGGCCAACTGGAACTTGGCCTGAGAGGTCATGGGTGTGTTCCTTGTTCCTTCAGGCACTCCTATCCCAAGCTGCAGAGCTGGGGTGGAGAGTGAACTGAGGGCATCTGAGCACTGACAGATGTCAGTTCAGCGATATCATATATAACAGTAGAGAATTGTGAGGGGACAGAAACATAGTAATAAGATTTGGCTGTGGATGGCGACAAGCTAGGGAAAAACATGAACTTCAATTTGTCCTTAACGCTCATGCAGTTTTCTGTGGAGTCTTGTCTCAGAAGTACAGATACACTCTACCAACCTCCCAGGGTCTCAGCCCCCCCTTCCCATTCCTCGGGTACCTCCCCACCCATCTTAATTCCACCCAACTCCTTAGGTCCATTTGTTTCCAACTCTGTGGCTCCAACTGGACAGCTGAGAGCTGGGCAGAGATGAGGAGAGAGGCCACTCCCCTAGGATGAAGGATCACAATCACAGACAAAGAGGTGGAAAGAGTGGGCTCCTGCCCCTGCATACCATAGAGCGACAGACTTACCAGCCGCCTCAGTTGGTGGTCAGTTCACCCTGGGGTCCAGCAGCTTTGGAGGACTGCGCTGCTGTGACTGACTGAGAACCTGAGCTGGGCAAGTGTAGGGGCAGCACCGGCAGTGGGGGAGGGATGGTGGCTATTAATAGAGACGATGAGAACAAGCAGCTCAAATGGCACAGGGGGTACTGAGACCCTGAAACCAAGCTCCTACCCTCCTTGCCCAATGTTCAGGAATGGGCAAAGCCTACTAGCTTCTCCCACCAGACTGTCTGAGCCAGTGATTAGTCGGCTGAGGGGTGGCCTCTTCCAACCTTGAGCCTTAGATCCTGAGAAGCATTTCAGGAGGCAATTTAAGGCAGAGGGAGAGAGGAGACAGACAGTAAGTAGCTGGTAAAAGTTAAGAGTAGGTAAAGGAAAAAACAAAACCAGAAAACAATATTGGTGGGCCACTCGGCCATCCCAGGTCAGGGCTTGAGGGACCCAGGGGTGCATTTGGGGGGTGGAGATTTTCACAGTGGAGTTGCTTTGAAACTCCTTGAATAGGTAGGCTTTCTTCCTGAGGGATAGATCTTGGTGGGACAAGGAACCAACTTAGTCAAGCCCAGAGGAGATGATGTGGCAAAGGTCTGTCAGCTTCACTCCTTCTCTTTCCTCTTAACACAGCAGTTCTCAACCTGTGGGTCATGGCCCTTTCACAGGGACAGCATATCAGGTATCCTGCATGTCAGATATTTACATTAGGTTCATAACAGCCACAAAACTACAGTTTTGAAGCAGCAACAAAATGTTATGGTTAGTGGTCAGCACAACATGAGGCGTATTAAAGGGTCGCAGCATCAGAAAGCTTGAGAACCACGGTCTCAGCAGCTGCAGTGATACCCTGAATACTCCCTCATCATCTGCTCCTGGTCTGAAACCAGCTGCTTTTGTGCCTCTTGCCTTAATACTGCTGCCTAAGGAATTGACTTTTTTTTTTTTGGGGGGGGGTGTGTGTATGGGTGAATTTAGGAAACATAGGTTTCTTGAGCCCAGGCATGGTAGTACATGATTTTAATCCCAGTACTCAGGAAGCAGAGGCAGGTGGCTCTCTATACTTAAGGACAGCCAGGGCTACACAGAAAAATCTTGTCCCCGCCCCCCCAAAGGTTTATTTATCTTTTACATATGTATCATTGTACTCTGTTTATATTCACGGACACACCACCATGACCATACTTGTTCCCATACTTTACAGGAAGTGGTTTTTGAAGCTTCCAGAATGCACCTTCCCTCTGTGAGCCCCCACCCCCATCCTTCCTGACCACACCCTGCTTCCATACTATTCTTATCATGCTTCAACTGGGGGCTGACAGTCCCCACACACACACACCACAGCAGGTGGCCACTGCCCAGACTTTTCATCTTTGGTCCATTTCCTCCCAACCCAAGGAAACAGAAGAAAAAATGTCAATAATGAAAGGTATCTTTGTTATTAGTACTACATCCCTGTCTAAACAAAACTCAAAGCCTGATCTCCTATTACCCAACACCTGAAACAAAATATATCAAGACATGCTATTTAACCTATGCTGTCTCAACCCTTCCTTTGGAATTCTCAGAGTTGCTTGGGAGCATCTGGTTATTGGCACAAACATGCCCCCTTCTGGTAAGCTCAGTAATGACACCTTCTGTCTCTCACTCCAGTCAGTCCCCACAGTCTCTATTTTAGTCTCAGGGCACACTCTTTTTCTTCTCTGTTCCATACCTCCTACACCTGTCACTGCAGTCCCTTTGCATGATTCCCAGAGAATGTTTAACATAGCTACTTCCTCCAAGGAGCCAGGAAATGTCGATGGCTGAGGTGAGGGCTCTGAGAGCCTTTCCAATTACTCTCAGTTGTGCAAACTGAGCCTCACTTAGAAAGCATGAGCTTCCTGAAGAAGAGGGAGAAGCTCAAGGTGGCGAGTGCAGGGACAGAAACCAAGAGGAGTGGTGAAGACGATTGGGTCAAAGCAAGACAATTGGTAGGAGGGCAGGAAGAGACTCAGCTGGGATCACATCAGCAAACTGGGTTAGAGAAGCCTCAGAGTTGGGCATAAAACCAGAAGAGATGACAGCAACAGAAGGTGTGGGCATGCTTTTATTCTTGTGCACAAACCAAAGAATTGTGGCACCCAACATTGCAAAGGAAAAGATCAATTTCCAGGTCAAACAGCAAGTATGGCTGGCGGTGGTCTTCATGGAAGCAGAGTCCTTACTCTTCTGGGAACAGAAATTAGGACCTGAAGCTAAACAGGAAGAAAAGCTGGGCTTCCTTGGGTAGGGTGGGACAAACAAGAGGGTTGGGCCCGGTGTCTCCCTGCCTTTCCCAGGTAGTCAGGGTTAGTTGCAGCCGGGGAAGGCCAGATTGACAGCCACCAAACTCCAACATTCAGCACACGTCCTCACCTTTGCTCTGACAAATGCATGCATTCTCCTGGGCTCAGACTGCCCCTCAATGCTCCCTCACACATAGGTGTTTCTCTTTGCCCAACTTTACTCTCTCCCTTTTTTTGGTCACGTTCACTCACGTCAGCCCTGCTCCTGGTTTTTGCCTCACTCTCCCCATCCACTCTGTCTCTATTCACCATCCTTTTTGTCTTCAGCAGTTCAGAAGAAATTTTCTTTTTTTACTTTCTGGATACTGACTTGCTCAGCACAGGACCCTGGTTGCTAACTCCTTGAAATTCAAAGAAATAGAATTCCTAGTCTTATTCCAGGTCTAGCTTGTCTAACTCACACCCATGAAAACTGTCAGACTCATTAGTATCACAATGCTGTGTCTCTGCTACAGACAGTCCTCTTCTAGGGGCTTTTCCTCAGTTAAACTCTTGTTCCCTGAAGGACTCCCTGTGGAGCTATCTGACCCTTCCAGTAGAAGGAAAAGAACTCCCCTCTTACTTTGTCTCCAGAGAAGCGCACATGTATGGTTATTTGATGCCTTTCCAGAGCAGATCCTAACCACACACATTTGTGAAAGCACATCTGCACGCACACACGCAAACACACACACACACACACACACACACATAGACACACACCGAGTGAGGAGTGTGGAGGGGTTCAGTACCTGGGTTGCTTGCCTGGTGGTGAGCTTTTTGCCTAACGCTAAAGTGCTGCCCACAGAGAGAAATGCAAATGAAAGTGAAAAGAAAAAGAAAAAGACCTGAGACCTCAGGGTGGAGAAACCAGAGATCCCGGCAGAGAAATACAGAGAAGATATCAAAACAGAGATAATAGGTTAAAAAGCAGCAGTAGGGAGTTGGGGAAACTGAAGGAGAACGCTATCTCCGGCAAGAGGCGACACGGGGAGAAAAAGCCGGTAGGATAAAGCCGAAGAAACTTCTGGGACTCTTAAGTTCCATTACTTGGTCCTGGGACCTATTCCCTGTTCACTGGTGCCCTGCCCCAGGCCTCCACACATGAGCCTGCAACCCTGTTCTGGTGGCTGAGAACCGGGGCCTGGCTACCTGGAAACCGCAGGAGCTGGGGGTGGCGGCAAAGCTCCTGGGAGACTCTTGAGGATAGTCTGGGTTAGGGACAGGGGGTGAGGCCAGCTCTGCCCTCCAAATTGGTTCGTCCAATGTGGTAGCCGCTCTGGGGGCAAGCACAGTGGGAGCCAAGGGTTCTGCAGTGGGCTGGGGTGCCGGAGTGGAGAATCTGCGGATCTCCTGGACTCGGGCAGTTTTGGGAGGACCTGAAGTGGGGCCAGGAGTTGAAGGAACCTCGTCAAAACAGAACATGGCAGTTTTAAGTTGGTACGGCTGATGTCGCATGAAATCCAGAGCCTTGATGCCCTGCTTGGGGGTCGCCCGAGGACCCTGGGATTGGGCCTTATTGGGGAGAGTTCGGGCAGCTTGGGGGAAAAAGGGTGAGAGGAGTGGGTTGTAAGCAATAGGGGGCGGGGCACGGATGTTGGGTGAGTATTTCCACGATGGGGGCAGTGAGGGTGTGGGAGAAGGACTTCTAGGACGAAAGCCATGGTTAAGGCTAGCGCCAGGTGTAGCTTCCACCACGTACCTATCCGCACGGCTTTGCCTCTTGGCAAAAAGCTCCCCACCCCTCCCCTGCAGCCTTGGGAGCTCAGGGATTCCAGCCAGAGGGGTCGACCCATTCACTAGCCCATCAAGGAGCCCTCGAGAGGCGGGGGGAGGAGGCACAGGGGGGGGGGG